TAAGAGCGATGGCCTGCAACCTAAAAGTGATGGCCTCCAAACTAAGACAGCAATGGCCTGCAACCTAAAAGCGATGGCCCGCAACCTAAAAGCAATTGTCTCCAACCTAAGAGTGATGGCCTCCAACCTTAAAGAGATGGCCTCCAACCTAAGAGTGATGGCCTCCAACCTAAGAGCGATGGCCTCCAACCTAAGAGCGCTGGCCTCCAACCCAAGAGCGATGGCCTCCAACCCAAGAGCGATGAGCTCCAACCTAAGAGCGATGGCCTCCAACCTAAGAGCGATGGACTCCAACCTAAGACGATGGCCTGCAACCTAAAGCGATGGCCTCCAAACTAAGAGGGATCGATGGCCTCCAACCTAAGAGCGATGGCCTCCAAACTAAAAGTGATGGCCTCCAACCTAAGAGCGATGGCCTCCAACCTAAGAGCGATGGCCTGCAACCTAAAAGTGATACCTAAGAGCGATGGCCTCCAACCTAAGAGCAATGGTTCCAACCAACCCAAGACACACACTGCTCATATAGACTAGACAAATGTGAACCACTTCTGCACTAGCCCCAAAAATAGAAAACAATCGCACCATTTAACCGTTTAGTTAGGTTTGCTTCCCCTGCAAGTATCATCTCATGTTGAGAGACCATGCGGAACGCTCCTGAAAACCGTTCTCTTGGGTGCTCCCACATAGCAAACGGCACTTTAGAGTAAGGTAAAATGCAAAAGGTTGTCAGATTGAGACTTGGTGAGGGAACTGGTCAATATGGAGTGAATTTGGAGAATCTGCGGGGCTAGACGGCAAGGGGGCGTGCCCATGCTGACGCTTCAAGCGATTCCCACTTTGTCGTCCAAGATTAATCTAGCAGCTACTCTAGGATTGTTTGTTCTTTGATTCTTGGTGCTGTCGCAGCCGGTGAGTGCTAAACTGGTTGAAGTATGCGGTGCTTGAACGGGATTACCCTGGCTGTCTTTGCATGGCCCTCGCTCCCAGACAAAATAGCCGACAGCAAACGTGGTGCTCGGTTTTGTTGAATTGCTGCTCGATGCTCAAAATTGAATTTGTTCAACATTTGCAAATCTCTTGCTGTTCTGTTTTTAGTCATGCAGCTTCGTTTCTGTCTTTGGCTGGCTGTGAAGTCCTCGCGAAAGCGGGTCATCTCTTACATCGCCCAAAGAAGGCGTGAATCGGCGATTCATGTTTGAACATGTTCTCATGGTGATCCTTTGCCGTAGTCATTGAAGAGGCTTTGCACCCAAAAGCTCAGTGGAGCATCTTTCATGATGTGCTTCAATTGGACAATCCTGCCTGCACCGCCTTTTGCATGCACTGTTGATGTGATTTGTTCTGTGTCTGAATCATGCGGAATTTTCAAGAAACTCCAGCACAACAGCTGAACAACTCAAACCATGCCATAAACAATGGCTCCCTGAGGATTTGACGGCAGATGTGGCCAAGGACTGAAGAAGTGTCTCTCCAGCAGACACCACAGTCCTGACGTGAGAAACCTTGATCAAAGAGAGCTCTCCTCTTGGAAGGGATTTCACCACTTCAGCACTCGGATTCGATGCTCCAAATTGAAAGTCCATTACCTGGCCTGTCGACAGTGCTTCACCCAAATGAAACTGCAACTGTGCACCAGTAAGTCTGCATTGACCGAAGGTGGATACTGAGGAAATCAAAGAATCACATGCGTTTGTGATGTTTAGCCACGGTGGAAGGTCCACTATAACAATGTCTGAGAGGGGGGCAAATTGCACATTTGGTGCCCACAAAACGGACAGGTTAATTGACATGCCAGCTTTATGCTTGTCAGATTCAGGCAGGACATCAATGTCCAAGTGATCCAGGGCCGGCACCAGGCTGAATCCATCCGCAATTCCATCTTCAAGGAGGGTGGCGTCCACCAGTAGCGTTTGGGAGAAACTCTGCAGAAACCACGGGCTGGTCCCCGATACCCCTGATGGGTTTACAATTGCAATGGTGGCCGTATATACTTTTGTTATGTCCAGAGGTGGCGATGTGACACTCAAACCAAAAACAGCTAGTGTGGTGGTGGCGTTCAGGTCTGTGCTACCTTCTTGTCCTGGCACACCACTTAGTTGCTTCTCCTCAAGGCTGCAGTCTACATCATTTCTGGAAGTACCATCTTCCATCAGCAGAAAGCGGAAACAATTTCCGGTCGGTGTGATCTGGTACACTGTAAAGGCATCATCTGCTTCGAAGATCTGGCAGGGTGGCGAGCCATCTGTTGAGGTCTCTTGGATACATTCTCCGGATTTGTCCCCGATGCCAAAGCGGAAGAATTCACATGCGCCTCGCTGTGAGCAAGCTGCCTCACACTGCGCAAACGTGTAGTCCAAACCAATGAAAACAAAGGCACTGCTGATCCCAGCGCATCGGGCACCGCTCCGAAGAAGCACACCTCGTGAAGCTCGAGGGACTGAGGGCACCAGCTGGAAGCCTTGAGATGGGATCAGCTGCAAAGCTCCACCAGGAGGAACTGGCACGGAAGGCTGAAAGCGAATCTCGAGCACATTTGGCACATTTGCCACCAAAAGTGCACGTGAATCTCGTGTCTCCCGAGATGCACCCACAAAAGCAGCAGAAATGCTGAGCTGCTGGAATGCTTGCAGGGTGAAGCCTTGAAACGGCAGTGAAGCCTGTGCCCCAAACTCCAATCGCCACAAGTTTCTCAGCGGGCTACGGTTCGCATTTCGCACCATCAAACGAAAAGCATAAAGCCGAGTGATTTCAACCAAAGGCTCTGATAGCGTCAAATAAGCAGTCTGCCCATCAGGAGAGCGTGCACAAGCGACCCGCGCCTCTGGAAATAGTGCAAATCGTGCAGAATCTGGTGAACCAGCACCAAAAGGATGAGAAATGTTCAGCGGTGCCAGTCCCATAGTGGGGTCTTCTTGAGTACAATCACTGGAATCTTGCCACGGCAGGTTGAAGCCTTCAGGGATTGAAACGCTCAAAATCTGGCCTGCGACTGATGCCAAAGCCTGTTGAAAGCATATCACGACTTGATTGAGAGCACCACGCTGCTTGGTGAATCCTGTAGTCGCCAAATCTAGCTGTTCCTCATCAATGAATGCATTCTGCATTGCGACTGTCACTGCAAAACTCAAGAAAACCCTAGGGCTATCCAAGTATGAAAGGCCAGCAGTATCATGAGTGGGAATGGAGGATTCCCCTGCGGCAACTGTGTAGATTTGCCAGCTGTACTGTGCATCTTCCGCGCTGATAGTCTTGATGTTTTTCACTTGCAAGATTTTAATGGCATAAGCGCTAGGAGATAGGCTACCTAATCGCAAAATAACAGCCGCAATATGTAGCCGTTGGACGTCTGTGAGACAAGCTGCCCCAACAGATTCAGGCAAGCCAACCACCCCTGGGGAGAGTGGAGGGGTGTCCAGCAAGCAAACTTCCGGAAATGTAAAGACACTCAAGGGTGCCACAATTACAACAGCACCACCCACAGGAATTGCGGTGACTGTTTCTACAAAGAGTGAAATGTCATTATCAGCAGACACAACCGCATTGGAAGCCTGCACAGCAGCAGCGAAAATGCGTCGCACTCGATTTGGAGCGGGAAAGCTCAAGCCACAGGCCATCCATCGAGCTGCTGGCAGAATTGGCACCATGGGGTACCCCGAATGGAGAGCAATCTTCAAATGCCAAAATGGCGGCGTTGACACACCCTGTCCTTGGGGATCATCTGGGTTTTGTGCAGGAACGTTTATGCCCGCACTGATGGATATTTCATCATCTCTCTCCATGATAAAGGTGGTGTTTGCACAAAGGACATTTGCAAACCCAAAGCACAAGCCAGTCGGCAGGAGTTCTGAACCCAGCACGAGAACGACACCGCTCCTCGTGGCAGCAGCCGAAAATGCAGCCGTAGGAAACACCCAGTTGTATCCCTGTGGTGCCGTGATGGATAGGAACAAAAGCGGAGAGAATGGATTGGGATGGTTATGGCCAGGCTTGAAAGTCAACGTTGCTACGGCCGCTTGTCCGGGCACGAGCCCATCAACAGCAACTTGACCTGAGGCACATCCGTAGGGAAAAATGTCAAGTCCTGGCAGCCGCGCATTGTCTACAGCTTCATCTGACTGAGTTTCCAGCCTGAAGTGCCCACTTGCCTCTTCAACCTCTTCCATCCACCCATCAGCAAAGCTAGGCATCACTCCCCGAACTGCAAAGCCGTATTCTTGGGGCTGCAACCTTGTAAATGGTGGCAATACTACCGTAACAACATTCCTATGCAATGCATGCCCTCCAGAGTTGGTGCTCTGGCACATGCTCTGAGCTGGCAAGGACAGCAAAATTTCTAGCATGCAGTTTCCACCCCCACCCTGACCAGAAAAGTCATATCCAAAGGGAGCAGTCAAGACCAAGTGGCTGTAGAAAATACCTTCAGTTTGAAAGGGTGCAAAATACACCGCAATCCACGTCTCTGCGCTTGCATGGGCAGCTGATGAAGACAGAGTTGCACTCAAAGAACCTGTAATCAGAACTCCGGCCAACTGCCCGTTTGCAGACTGGGATGGAACCGCTGGCCCTCCACCAATACTCAGGTACCAAACATTTCGACGGCCTAAAGATGGAGCAAGTGCTCTGACAATCAGCCGCAGGGAATACTCAGCACCTCCAAGGAGCATTGTGTTCCTAGCTAAAGGCATGTCAACCCCAACGCCCCAAGAGGTGTTGAACTCCAGTTCTGACTTTTCAAGTGGGACCCACGGCTTGTCGGACATGGGAAGATTTGTTCCAAGAACGAGAAATTCTGCTGGGGGCACCAAGCGAAAGGAAGCTCCTGAATGGCTCGGCAAAGTTACCAAAGGGAGGAACACCATTTCAAGCGTCAAATTCTGACCGGGCTCACCCTGAGCAAGAGGCCGAAACCTTGACAACACCGTAGGGTCCCAATGCAAGGTCGACGAAAAAACATGCCAAGCAGCTTCTTCAGCCGGTGCCTGATATCTGCAAGCAACAGTGACACTAGCCCCGAACAGGCCTGCTGATGGCAATGGCAGGGAGATGTCAATTGAGGCCTGGGAATATGGAGTGATCAATGTATTGCTGCCAAGCACTAGTGTGACTGCATTCTGGCGAAAGCCAACTCCAGCTTCTCCTACCAAAAAAGTTGTGCAAGTTGGAGGCACCATATTGCTTTCTCCGCTACTAACGGTGAGGCTCACCGAATTGCAAGTCGCCACATTGCCTGCTGTCGCCGCAAGGTTCCAAGAAGAAAGAGGATGTAAGAAAAAATCCAAAGCATGCCCTGCACGCAGCCACTGCTTTTCATCGCTGCCAGGCTGTAGAAGCAAGCGAAATCGACCAATAGGAGGCTGCGAGCTACTATTGACATACTTCAACTCAGCCACTACACTGTTGATCACCGGCTGTTGTGTGAAGAAAGAAGGGCTACCAGACTTCAGAAGGGCTGCGTTGGTAGGGCGAAGCTGCGAAATCTCCCTTGCATTGAAGGCTCCATTTCTATCAGTGCTCCAAATCGAGAGTTCCAATAAACTGTCCGCGGTAGTGGTTGCACTCCGAAACTCGGCCATGACCTCCAAAGTGTATGCTGTCGAGCTACGCAAACCATTTCCAGGCCACCACTCAACCGAAACCGCATCGCCATCCGATCGCATTGAATCTCCCCAACAACGTCGAGGTGGTGAAACAACACTGGCACTAGCGAAGTCTCGCAAATACTCTGCACAGTCCACCGCCAAAGCATCCGATATTTCCTGTAGAAGGGCACCATCTTGAGCCCGCAGCAGGCGCCATCGCGAAGCATCCAGCAACTTCATCCGTAGCTGTGATACTTGAGGGAACTCTCTGGTTGCCGGTTGGCCTGAAAGGTAGGTCTGTTGGTCTGCAGTTTGGAAGGTGATGAGAAACACAGTGGGTCGTTGTATTGCCACGCCTGTTGGGAAGAGAAAGCTAGTCAACTGCGGTGCTGTGCTGAGTGTGGACCAACCGACTGTAGCGACTTCAGAAGTCTGCATCTGAGCCTTCACAACAACTGTCCCCCCTCCTAGTTGCATTCTTAGTCGCAAAATGATTTCAATGTCAGGACCCAACCATCCGGTGAGAGTGGTCACGGTGCAAACGTTGTTGGACATGAGCGCACTCACAGAAGCCATGCCCTTTGGTATCCACGCGGTAGTGAGAATTTGACAGCCCAGTATGGCATTGGCGCTTGAGACTAGCATGTCTTCTGGGAGGTCTGTGTTTTTCTGTAGAGCTACGTCGACTTGCACTTCATCGGCTTGACTGACAAACAAGAACCGGCCACTGGGAGCTGCAAACAAATTGGGACCAGCCACTGCAACAGCATCGCAGGTTGGGCCGGACAACATCAAAAGCCAAGTGCCGAACGTGCCAAAGTGCGGACTTGGCACTGATACTGAAATACTCGCAATGCCTGGTGGGGCACCTAAATCAACTTCAATTGCATTAGCATAATTGCTAGCAAGCTGTCGGAAATGACAAGACAGTGCTGACCAGGACAAGAACACACCTAACCTGTCCCACTGCGACGACAGTAGTGGACATTCACTGCCGCCGGCCACTCCGAAGTTGGTGTGAATAGCGGACAAAGGAAGGAGATGCAACACACTTCCAGCTCCCACGTGTCCCATCTGCAGATTGAAGTCGTAGCGCACCAACCGGAGAGCACTGCCAGAAGCAGGATTGGAAATTGCAATTTCAGGAGCTGAGAGGCTTGCAGTCAAGGTATTGCTTGAATTGCATACTGAAAAATTCATTGGCATATAAACAGTCTCAATAATGTCGAAAGATCCAGGCCTGGATTCAACTGCATAAGCTATGTTCAATTCAGCGGCTGCTA